CTCAATCTCGGGAGCAGGACCTCGTCGAAATGACCATCATAACATTTCGTAAGCAGTTGTGATTTGATTGGTCGAGGGTTCACCTTCGTAGGTCAAAGAGCATTGTTTTGAAAACCTTTGGTCCTGCTATTTCTGAGAGCAGGACTGCAAGAATTGCCCTGTGCATTCTCGTTCTGCTATGAGATACTAGCAAGGAGGCCAGTTCAAGTATTGTGGCGAGGCGATGTGAATGCGGATTTTCTGCTTGCTTTGGCAATACCAATGATATTATTATTGACAGCAAAACTTGCCTCAGTTGAGCTGCATAAATTTTATTTGTAACAAGACAGAGTCCAAAGTTCGCAAGAAAGAAATGTAAACAACAAGAATTGGCTGTATGAGGCACTCTGATTTCGGCCTTTGTACGATCGTTTGAGGCACGGTATATCATGGTGGCCTAAATAAAATTTTCTTAGACTTGGACAAGGACGATGAAAGCATAATTTAATTTACAGTTGTGTGATTGAAAGTTTTGAGTTGGAGAATAAACCAATTTCAGCGGAATTTGCATTTTTCTACCTGAATTGTTTTCTCGTCTAATGGTTTATCTAATAAAGTTGTTTTCATTGATAATGCGACATATTATTCGATTGTACTTCTCTTTATCAGCTGCAGAATAATTGTTCTGCAGAATATGTGAACTTGCCCCTACAGACTTTAAACTCTGTTGTTTATTAAAATTATTTTAATAGAGTATCTAGATTGGTCAGGTTTATAAGACCAAAATCTGGAATACCACAAATATATGATATGCAACTTCAAATGCCACCCCTACCCCCTTTTATCGTCAAATTTAGTTATCACCAATTTGAACTTTTACTTCAGCTGTAGAGGCTTACTACAATTTAACATGGATTTGTTTGAAAAGTAAGCACCCTAAAGCACGTCTTTAAGTATGGGTTTATTTTTCAAAAGATAGACATCGATTTAAAATTTGCTTTTTACTGAATTTAAGAAAAAATTCATCTGCAAAATACAATTTTTGTCCATGGGCTGTTCCTATTGAATAAGGGCGTGGCCCTGTCCATATAGCAGGACCAACAATTTTTGGCTAGCTTCGCCACTGTCTGTCCCTCCTGCCTCTCCAGGGTATTAACTTGACTAGAAGTCAGTACAGTATACTCTTGCTTGTGGCACATCACTAAGTACCTTTACTATGTCAATTAATGCTTCTATTATGCTAAAAATTCTCTTTCTTTTCTAAAAATTCTCTTCTATTATGTATCTTTCTTTACGAGCTTACTTCAATCAAAGTACTTTTGGCCACTTTCAAATCTGGTCGTTCTGAAAACATGCTACATGCAGCCCTCATATATTGACGTGTACGCTGATCACCTCGGTAAGAGTTGGTATAGCCAGAGAAAATGTAATAAATAGGCTGCTTCTTGCTAATTATAGAGTCTGTTCGTTCTAAATTTCAAAAGATGTCTGGTTTTCTTTGCAGATTTTCTAAGCCTTCTTTCTTCAGTTTTTCTACCTACCCCCACCCCCGCTCTGCCTTTCATCATGAGCTTTCACAGTTTATTACTGACACAAATATTGCCGGAAAACTAAATCTTTAAATAAATCGTCTTCCTTTTCTAAAGGAACTTTTTGAATAGGAATTTTTCCTCTATCGTTACCCAATGTTTCAAACATAAGGGTAAAAAAATAATACTTAACAACTTGTTGAGGGAAAATTGTGCTGTGCTTCTTGCAGTCAAATTCGGCCCAATTTAAGCGTTTTTATAGTCATCACAAAAGTTAACTGCGATTTGCTGGTTCGATCAATTAATGGACCTTTTAAACCTGCCCTTGCATGTGTACTGGGAGGTTTTATGACGATTGGAAAAGAAAATAATCAAACAATGTTTGATGGCATGTTGAGCTATTCAAGTTGATATCGAATATTTTGCTGCAATAGGCACCAAAGTCTCCTTGGCAAAGAATAATAATGAAACTAAATACCATAATATTGCTGATTTGAATGCGGCCAAGATCGTATTTGCCACGGCTAGGTGTAGACGGGCAAATAGGTTTTGACAAGAAGCACAAAATTGACAGCCATGTTGGCCTAATATTTTGAAGGTCAAGTGTGTTTTGGCGCCTAACTGCAAGTGCTTTAAAGGTTCGTACGGAAGGTAGGCTGTTTTGAATTTGAATCTTTGTGAAGGTCGCACACCATTTTATTGTTGGAGCACTAGTTCGAAAGTGATATGGATTCGTCTGCTACATCACCAAAGAAAGCGAAGAAGACAGCAGCGCCCAAGAAGCCTGCCGCACATCCTGCGTATAAGGACATGATCGCGGAAGCAATCAGAATTCTGAAGGAGCGAAATGGGTCATCGCGACAGAAAATTGCCAAGTATTTACAATCTAATTACAAAGGTCTCGGTGATGAGAGCGCTCTGAAGAGAAACCTGAAAGCCTCCTTGAAAAAACTGGTCGCTTCTGGCTCTCTCATCCAAACGAAAGGGGTAGGGGCTTCAGGTTCGTTCAAGCTGCCTGCCGCTGCCAAGAAGCCTGCAGCAGTGAAAAAGCCAGCAGCAGCAAAGAAGGTTGCGAAAAAGCCAGCAGCGGCGAAAAAGGCTACTGCTAAGAAGGCTGCAACTTCAGTCAAGAAAAGCCCTGCAAAAAAGAAGGCCTCGACACCAAAGAAAGCCAGCGGAGCCAATAAGTCACCAAAGAAGCCCAAGGCCAAAGTGGCAAAGAAGCCTAAAGTAGCTGCTGGTAAGAAGGCATCAGCTGCTGGTAAGAGCAAACCCAAAAAGGCTGCCAGCAAAAAGACAGCAAAGTCACCGGCTGGGAAGAAAGTGAAGGCTGCAAAGTCAAAGAAGTAGATTGCATCAGTGGAGGAGGGCCATGTTTCCCACTTACCACCTGGTTTACCATATAAACAAACAGCTTTTTTAAAAGCTACCAAAAAGTCGGTCATCGGTTCTTGATTAGCCTTGACGGCTGCATTGATATCATGAAATTAAATGTAGAGTTTTCAAGGCTGGTGGGCCCACAGTCACCTGCATTTGTCACTTTTTTCTTTATGATGTACCTTCATCAAAATGATTTACAAAATAGGTAGCAGGATTTATCATTTCACCTAAAGTTATGTGCATAGTAAACTATTTTGAAAGCACAATTGCCACTGTACACTATCATAAAATTAGCAGAAGATACACATTTTTTCTGCAAAGTCTGGAGCAACTCATATTTTTACAGTATTATTAGTAGCTTTTAAGAATGCCAATTGTAATAACAATTGCCAGTTTACATCCAAAGAAATTTCAAGACTAGTTTGACAGTATAGGTCCTTGATGTGCTATGTGACTATGATCAGCATAAAAAAGAATAAATACAACACATGAATATATCAAATATTTTTGGTGATGAAGTATGCAAGCTTCAATATTTACAAAGTAGATCTAAGGATTCATCATCTCATTATTAGTAAATTATATTGAGAACAAAATTGCAAGTACACAGTATCATGTAGGTTAGCAGAAATCGAATTTATCATCTTATCTTACACTGTCTAGAGAAATTAAAACTGAAATAACAATTGCCCTCTTTGCAGCCAAACTTATATCAAGAATTGTTAGACAGAAGGGGTTCTTGATGGGTAATGACCTTAAGCATAAGCATGTTGATTGAAGATTTAGTCTATTCTTGTGAAGCCAGCTTGTGGTTACCTGTTGGGTTGCTTTTGAAGAAAATTTTAAAGCTTACTTTTACAATCAGAGTTTATTTTATGAATGCAAGCAATATGTTCAGTGCCCTAAATTGCTGAAATTTTGAGGTTGATTGTGATATGAATCAAGTAGAGAGTATAGGAGTGTGTCATACAATGTAAACATTTAATGGTTGATGTAGCTAAGATTTCTATGATTGGCACACTGTAATAAAAATTGCCTGGAAATGAGCAAATGATACTTTATAACTAATGTTTTTCCCTTACACATGTTGAAATCCAATACTGACACTTGCAGTGGCTGAACATTTGGGGCAAACCCACAATATATTGGGGTATTTTGGTAAGACTGAAAAAACCATATATTTGGTGACTAAAAAGATTGTCATGAAATAAATTTGCCAGCAGTTGTATAATAATTCCTAATGGTTTTTAAATTCAGAATAAGATAGAGTAAATGATATGTCATATTTATTGTGACCTCAACATTTTAAATACATACATATGTATTACATTGTGGGCTTAGCACAAATTGAAAATATTGTGCACATGATATAAATTGTATGCTCTTGAATTCAGTCTAGCACTATGAAAAAGTGATTCATTTTTCCCATTCTACAGAGTACATGACCAACTAACTACTGGTAGTTTGTGACAATGTAACTACCAGTAGATTAAATTATTTGTAAATGTAAATTATTTGTAAGTAAACTACTAATGTAATTTATTTGCATGTACCAATGTAACTTAATATTACATGTTAGTTTTAAAAGTACATGTAGATATGAAGTGAACTGATCTGAGTCGACCATGTCGTGTGTATTAAGGTTGGGGAAATATAATCTCTGGTGTTTATGGTGGTTTTTAAAAAAACCGTTTTTTCAAAGAATTCATCGACAAAGATGAAATTTGCTTGTTGAATTAAGCTCTCTCTCCACGAATCCTTCTGGCCAGTTGTATGTCCTTTGGCATAATGGTAACACGTTTGGCATGAATGGCGCACAAGTTGGTGTCTTCAAACAGTCCAACTAGGTAAGCTTCAGATGCCTCTTGGAGGGCCATCACCGCCGAGCTCTGAAAGCGCAGATCTGTCTTGAAGTCTTGGGCAATTTCTCGGACGAGTCTTTGGAAGGGCAGTTTCCTGATCAACAACTCGGTCGACTTCTGGTATCTACGAATTTCTCTCAGAGCAACTGTTCCGGGCCTGTATCTGTGTGGCTTTTTTACACCTCCAGTTGCTGGGGCACTCTTTCGTGCAGCCTTGGTGGCCAGTTGTTTGCGAGGAGCTTTTCCTCCAGTTGATTTCCTTGCAGTTTGCTTTGTACGAGCCATTTTGACACTACGAAGAAATTTCAATAAGGGCGAACGAAATAAGGTGACTGAGCGATGACGGTACTACGTTCCAGCTAGGAACAACGAATCGATCTGCGAATCGGCGCCATTTGAGGTCAATTTGAAATGTTTGAGCAAGCCACGTGACATGCCGGGAGAAGCGAAATGACAAAGAATGCATCGCCCATTGGCTGCTTTATTATCCCAAGTTTCGAGCGAGCTGCAATTGCATCTTCTGAACAAGATTCATACCATTTCTTGAAACTTAAGGGAAGCAGAAAAAGCAAATTCAAAGGGATTCAAGCAGTTTCAAATTACTGTCTCTTTGACTTGGGGAGGTTTGTTATCCTGATTGATGGCAACAATAGCAAGAGTTTACGTAAATATTGGTTGTTTTTAGTGGCTGTTATCCAGTTCTCTTTGGCAGTCAGTCAAATAAAACACTGAATTGACATATTTCA